ACTGGGGCTGGGCTGGGGATATACTGGGTATATGCTGGGGATATACTGGGGCTGGGCTGGGTTTATACTGGGGATATACTGGGGCTGGACTGGGTATATACTGGGGCTGGACTGGGGCTGGGCTGGCTATATACTGGGTATATACTGGGGCTGGACTGGGTATATACTGGGTATATACTGGGGCTGGACTGGGGCTGGGCTGGGTATATACTGGGGCTGGATTGGGCTTATACTGGGCTTATACTGGGGCTGGACTGGGTATATACTGTGTATATACTGGGGCTGGACTGGGTTTATACTGAGTTTGTACTGGGGCTGGACTGGGTATATACTGGGTTTATACTGGGGCTGTTCAAGTGCTGTGCTGGGGCTGTGCTGAGGCTGTACTGGCACTGTACTGGGTTTATACTGGGGCTGTTCAAGCGCTGTGCTGGGGCTGTGCTGGGTTTGTACTGAGTTTGTACTGGGGCTGGACTGGGGCTGTGCTGACACTGTACTGGGTTTATACTGGGGCTGTGCTGGGTTTGTACTGGGGCTGGACTGGAGCTGTGCTGGGGCTGGACTGACACTGTACTGGGTTTATATTGGGGCTGTGCTGGGTTTGTACTGGGGCTGTACTGGCGCTGTACTGGCGCTGTACTGGCCCTGATCTCATGGGGTCCCCTCCTCTGTGTCCAGTGTCGGCAGACCCCTCGGACCCCGCCCCCGAGGACATAGCGGTCGTGACCTGCGAGCTGAGGTGCCCGGCGGCCTGCGGCCCCTACGCCCTGACCATGAACGTCTCCGGCCGGGCGGAGCTCCTCTCCGCTCGCGGGGAACCCCTGCAGCACGTCCTGAGCCCCGGCGGGGCGGGCCGGGGGCGGGACTTCCGGTGCCAGCTGGAGGTCGAGGGGAGGGTCCGGGCCACCGCCTCCCTGGCGCTGCAGGCGCAGAACCGGACAGGTAACCGGGCACCGCCATTATGGGCATGTCTGGTGGTGTCATACCACTCCCACTGTGGGGGGGCGGGGCCTGGCCCAGAGCCACTCCCACTGAGGGGGGCGGGGCCTGGCCCAGAGCCACTCCCACTATGGGGGGCGGGGCCTGGACCAGAGCCACTCCCACTGTGGGGGGCGGGGCCTGGCCCAGAGCCACTCCCACTGCGGGGGCGGGGCCTGGGCCGGAGCCACTCCCACTGTGGGGGGCGGGACCTGGGCCAGAGCCACTCCCACTGTGCAGGGGCAGGCCTGGCCTGGCCCAGAGCCACTCCCACTGTGGGGGTGGGCCTGGTCTAGAGCCACTCCACTCCAACCCACTGTGGGGGCGGGGCCTGGCCCATAGCCGCTCCCACTGTGGGGGGCGGGGCCTGGTCTGGCCCAGAGCCACTCCCATTGTGGGGGGCGGGGCCTGGCCCAGAGCCACTCCCACTGTGAGCCTGTCTGATGCAGAGTCACCTCTCCCTGTGGGTATCCCTGGTACGACATCATCCCTACTGTGGAATGAATGCCCGGCTTGGTCAGATCGTGGCGTCGCATTCGTTGTGCGAGGTCA